TGTTGTACATATAATAGATAATTAAAAGATTTTTATTTAAAAGGAATTTCCGAAGAAATGCTTACATACCAAAAAAGTATTTTTATTATTTTTTTTATCTATAAATCTGTGTAATAATAAAAATTTCGAAATAATAAAAAAGATATATAAAAGTAATAAAAAGATTACATAAATATACTATAAAAATCCAATTTTCTAATTTTTATTAGATAAAATGCCGTTTGCTTACGAGATGAGTCACAGGTACCTGAACTAAGGATCTGACCGTAAAGATGTTCTCACATCTGAAAGCCAAAGTTAACAGATGTCGTACTTCGTTCAGTCCACAGTATTGGCTTATTCAAACTGCGTTCACTGCGCAGGCGATTCTCCATGTTATAAGTGTTCAACATGCGTGACTGAAGTCAGCATTCGTGCCGAGGTATCAGACGCGTTCGTGAGCCACGCCAGCGAAGAACTGCTTATTAATTGGCGTAATAGTTAATTTGAAATCGTGAGTACCATTTTTCAATAAAATAATAAATTTTAATCTTTTGCTTATTAAAATTTTATTACCGCTGATGCAAGATAGACCTCTATTCTACGGTAAATTGTCAGAATTAAAGACATTTTTTTTTAAATTTACATCTGCAAAAACAGAGATTTCGCGATATTTTATTGTTGTTATATAAACTTTTATATTACTGAGAATGAAACATTTACATTATTATAGCACGTCATATAAAACTGTCATCATACTTTCCTAATAAACTATTTATCAATTTTTAATTGCAAAAATTCGTATACTTCATCGAAAATTTAATCGTTTCTTATTTCATTTTTAATTTTCAATATGATAAATTGTGTATTAAAAATGTTTAAGCAATATTACGTGATGAAAATAATTAAGTAATTCAACAATTCAAATTATCAGATATTCTACCGATTTCTCAAGGACGTTGCCGAATTTGAAAATATTATGTTACCAGTACTCTGAAAGCATATCTTGATGTTTATATCTTTATTTATCATGAAAGGCGAGTCCGAAGTTTCCTTTCAGAGTTTATTTCAACTCTACAAATATGACTTATCACGTTTTTGCAGAATGTTTTAAAATATATCGATTATTTAATATTATATAAAATGCAAAAGAAAGAATTTATTATTAAATAAATTAGTGAAAAAATTTAAAATATTTATTTTAATAATAATTTAAATATATCCATTTTGTCCTTAAGAATAGTTTACGCCAAAACTGACTTATCATGTTATTCTTTATACATGTAATTAAATATATTTTTAATAAAATGTTTCTTTAAAATTTATTTAATAAATCAGTAAATTATTAGTGTAAAAACCTTGGACAGGCATTTTTAGTGTACCACTGTGTGATAAATTCGGAAACATGGCGACAGAAGTGGCGCATCTTCCTCATCTGAAGGTCTTTGATCGCGTAATGGAATTACCCATCGTTGAATTGGCGCTCGTCAAATCAGCAGAAACATATTCCAGGGTGAAGAGTTCAAATCAACTGGTGTATTGGGCTCTCTCTACCGCCGAGTCCTCTCTAAGCACTGCAACGAACAAAGCGATGCCCATCGCCGTACCCATTGCGAAAAGATTGGAAAGTCCTATCAATTTCGTCGATCACACATTATGTCTTGGTCTCGATAAAATTGAAGAGAAAGTGCCGTTGGTGAAGGAAAAACCCGCACAGGTTTGACATAGATGTCATTATTATATAATTACAATCAATAAATATAGTTTATATATTTTTTAAATATCATTAGATAAAATTAAATAAAAGTAAATAATTATTATATAATTAACATATATTTGATATATTTCTTTAGATTTTAGAAAAAGCAGTATCAAGTATTTCGCATGTAAACGATTTGATTATCGGACAAGCGACGAATTTGCGAGACATCAGCTGGAATACGGCCAATCATATACTCGATACACACTATGGCAATGTTGCTGTGAGGGGTATTGATAACACGGCTGTTATCGTTGATAAACTCATTGACAGATATTTCCCCGCAACAGAAAAAGAAAAACCGACATGTAAGACATACATTTTTTATTTCCTAGTATTTTATTAAAGTCATTAAAATTTAAACCATCAATATGATTAAAATCTATCTAGATTACTTTGAATAATGCAAAAGTACATACAAATTAATTTAATTCTTTATTTTTTTAAATATTAAAAGTATTGTAAGTAAAAGTAACAGTGTAATGAAAGTTGGCAGTATTATGAGTAACGAGAAAGTTAGTGAAAGTCGCTTACAATAAGAGTTTACAACCATTGAAATTACAGTACTAAATTTTTGCTTCTATTATTATGAAAATTTTATTTTTTAATATTTTAAATATTTTTTGCTTTTATACAAATTTCATAATCAAAATTTTTTCTAATCTAATTTAGAACAAGCGTATTTATTGCTAAAATGCAATGTAACTAATTTAATTAATATGATTGACTTAAAATGATTTAATTTCTTTTTTTTAATATATAATATAAATCTTTTTTTATCCTTAATTTTTATTTTTAAATGTGTTATTTTTAATCATACATTTTTAATCATACATTTTTTAACACAGATATTAGCAAAGCTGAAGAAGACAGATTACTACATACTTTACAAACTGTTGGTCATCTCTCCAATAAAGCTGCTCGACGTGTATATTTAAATATAATACATCATCTGAGCTCCATCAAAAAGGACGGTTTAACAACCTACGTCAGCAATTTAGTCGAGTTCCTTCGATTAACAAAATTCCTTTCCACAGTCAACGAAAAATCACACATTAATGGGGAGAAAAAAGAAGAAATACAAGAAACAAGAAAAGAAGAAATACAAGATGAAAAAGAGAAGAGCGAATAAAATCCTCCTAATCATTCTAATTCTTTTTGAAAGTTCTCCGTGTATGGTTATTTAAATCATTATGCAAGGAATATCGTTTGCATTTATCATTGAAAACAGCATTTATATTTATAATAATTGTGAATAAAATAGCTATGCAGTGACTTCGTAAACTCGTTAACAATCTCGAATTAATTCGAATTAACAACTCGAATTAACTATCGCATATTAATACTTTCGCGACCGCGAAAACAATCGACACGCGAAAATACACTACGTCAATGAATCGCTAAACATTTCTTTATATTGCTCGTTAAATACAAAATATGAAAAAAATATAATTGTAAGAGCGAGATATAAAAATGTGTATAAATAAGTTTTATATTTATATATTTTGTATAATTCATAAATATGAAAATATTATAAGATAATATAAAGTACGAATGCAATAAATTTCAAAGATTCTTTAAAAAATTCGAATTAAAATAAAGCAAATTGAAAGTAATAATCTATAAACATAATAATTATTAAAATTTCATATACTAAAAAATGTATATGTATATTTTTTTACTTAATGCACTTATTCAGAAATTTCAATGGAATACTTAGCAAATATAAAGTTTCAGATAATTATTGGATCTCAATATTATGTATAAATATGATTCTGTATGTTATACATTTTTATAATTGTATATAATATATACTATGCTATATGTTATGCTAAACGCATATGTTAGGTTATACATTTATAAAAAAAATACTCCGTAGATTCGGAGCATTATGTTGAGGTCCATTATACTACACAATTTTCTTTTAATTATTGTGTAAAAAATTTTCACACATATACTTGTTGACATAATAGCATTTTTCCCATTTTATTCAAATATTGATATGCATTTTGTATACTAAATAAATATGTTACAAATTAATATTAAGCGATTAAAATGTATATTTTGTATATGTAATTATCTATGTCATTAATCTAATAAAGCTTTTATAAAAATAAAATAATTCGTTATATTATATAATAATAAAGTATCTATTCGCGTTATTAAATTTTGGAAGTATTTAATCTTAGAAATTTCATAGAAACATTTAATTTTTTTGCTTTTTAACTTTGTTAATGTTTATTCATTAAAGATATAATATTCGTAAAAATTTAAAATTTATTTTCACTTGTGTGAATTATTTAGAACAATATGACTAAACAATAAAATTTATTAAAGAATATTTTGTTTATAATTTATTATAAGATTGTTCTTTTATAGCAATAAATAATTATGATGATTTATAATTTTTTTCTTTGAATAATTCTTTGAAATAATTATAACTTCTCATACTTCTTGATTATATATTATGGTAAACTTTTTAATGAAGATTATTAACAAAATGAATCAATAGAGAGGAGAGATGTTTGTGATGTCTGAGTAGATGTCTGACGTAAATGTCTGAAAGAGATTTAAAAAGTTGCGTCAGATTCATTAAGCGTCGTCATTCTTTCCAATCATCATTCTTCGTAGGGTCAACTTCGTGGACTAGTCATTCGCTTTCCACGTGTATTTATAGCAAGAGACAAGTGACCGCCACGTCATAGCTGTTGTGAGATGTCTCTTTTTCATACTGCGCAGAAGCAGTAATGAACCCATAGACGTATATATGTTGAGTGGAACCCAGGTGTAAAGGTGCGTCATCATGCAAATATGATATGATGAAACCAGATGAATTATATGATGTAATGACATATCATATAAAATTCAAAATAGTTTAAAAATATAAGATGAAAATTACATTATCCAAATAAAAATATTATTTAAAACTTAAATGTTAATTATATAGTAATTGCTTTGGTTATCTCACTAGACATATACAATGTTTGGCAAACATGGAATGACAAGTAGTGGAAAAAAATACAAGAAATAATTTAAGAAGTTTCCAAATTTAATGTATAAATTATTAAAAAATATATAAAAAGGTATATAAACAGTCGAAAAATTATCAATTTTTTTATAAGAACTTTATATTAAAATCAAATAATTTTATTTTACAATAATACTTATCTGTGTCATCTTCTTTTATTTCTTGTAAACATAGTAAAATTTCTCTTTGTAAACAAAACTTTACAAACAGAAGTAAAATAATTTCTATTTCTATTTTCCTCTTAAGGAAGACATTAGACGTTACTGTTCCGGTCTCCCCACTTAATAGAATTTTATGGATATTTACCGGTTTTCACCCAGTATAACGACAGTCTTACCCGACATTTCGTGTAAATCAGTGATACGCAATTAAATATTATATTTTCCTCAGCAAGTCATCTATTAAATGTAAGTACATATAGAAAAGTACATAAAATAGAAAAGAATAAATTTGTGAATATTAATTTTTAAATTTGTTTTAAAAAATACATTTATAGATCAAATAAATTTTTGTAAAATACTCCATATTACAAAAAATATAGTTAATATTATGCGTTATCTTTTATTTTAACATCTTCTAATATAATTGTTATTAGAAATAAAATGGAAACTTTATATTAATTAATTTAAGGTATCAGCGATTATAATTGTAATTAACAATAATTGTAATTAACTGATTTTTATTACATTTTAATTACATATTCAGTAAATAATTAATGTATAATCATATATATAATAATTTCATGTATATATATAATAATTTCAACTCCCACATTTTCTAATAATTTATTTGTGTAATATTGATACGATATGATTGTACAGTTTCATTTTGAAAGCATGTTATAACTTGACATTATAATTTGACTTACACCAAGGTGAACATTTCATAAACATCAATAACCTTTTCTTACAAAAAGAAAAGTTTGCGTTATAGATTGTATACATATAAAGTTAGCATTCTGATCATCACAATATATTGCAGAAAAGCTGTACTACATATCTGAAACAATTAAACTAAATGATAATTGAATACAATCTTTTAAATAAAATTGCATATTACACTAATAGTTCTATGAATATAAAATATATAAAATTAACAAGTTAATTTATTAAATTAATTTTTCATCAAATTAATAAAATTTAGATGTAAGTTAGATGTAAAGTTATATAATAAAATTTCTTTATAGAAATAAATATTAATATTTATTTAGATATTAAAATTTAAAAAAAATTGAGACTCAAAAGAGAATATATAAAATACAAAGAAAATTATTTTTAAATTATAATATGTTATTCACATTTCAGATAATAGTGATATCTAAAATAAAACGAAATTTCAAATTATTACTTTGTCGTTTGTTGTAGCGGATGAATCATGTATTACGCGCATAATCTCATGATCAGTTGAGTACAATAGTTCGTGTAACAAAAAGTAGAATATTCGATTTTGTTTTACATTTTACATTTACTTTTCAACACTGTTTTGCACATGCACATCAATAAATGTATGATAAATTAAATTAAAAATTTATATTATTTAATTTTTATAATTGTTTATAATATGTATTGTAATAATTTCATACACCAGTTATATCTTCCTTCTTCTTTTTTTTAATTTGCCGATCGCACGTATGTAGATGCATTAAGACATTAGGAAAATGATGGAGAGAAAATTAGATCATTAAATATAGATTATGGTATCAAAGTACGCGTCTGGCTTTAACAGAATTAGATAACAAGATAAATAACGAGCTTGATTCACCAGCGAAGGTACAAAGATCTATACGAGAAATACTCGCCGCATCATACATATTTATCTTTAAAGTACACGAGTGCACACTTGAACGTGACGCACTTAATTATCGTCGTAGTTATTTATGCAAATTAACAAAAAGTCTAGCACATCACTCAGGATTACCATGAATCTAATCCACATATATCGCTGGTCACCATTAATATAATTTTGTTATATATTACATCTAGGTAGCAAGCTAACATTATTAATTTATCATCATTTGGATGACACGTCATTTTTGATGATAAATAGTGTCAAATTGCTATCTGGAAATTTTTATTTGTGTCATAATTAATTGTTACCGTAATTGTTACCAAATTGTTGTTATTTATCAGAAAAATGACATAAATCAAATTTTAAGATTTTAATTATTGCAATTTTAATTATAAGATTATTTATAAGATATATTTACTTACATAAATTAATATAAAAAATTATAAATTAAAATACATTTGTAGATTTATTTTAATTATAAATAAATACACAATCTTTAAAGCTATTTGTATTTACTAAAATACATTTTAATATAATATATACTTTCCACAAAAATTTTTAAATTTGATATATGTCATTTTTAAAATAAGAACAATCTGAATGCCAACTTTAAATTTACTTTGCAGAAAGAATGGCGGACGCAAATAAAGCAACTCCAAATTCTGCAAGTGCTCCTCGCCTCGAGGTATTAGACCGGGTAAAAAATATTCCAGTGGTCCATTCGGCGATCGAGAAGACAGGATCCACATATTCGTACGTTAAAGATTCTCATCATTTAGTAAATTGGGCGCTAAGCTATGCCGAAGCAGGATTGCATTATGCTACCGCGACAGCTGCACCACTTGCTGCTCCTTTGGCCAAGAAATTCGAAGGACAGATCAATGCCGTCGATCAGAAGTTATGCGAAGGATTGAACCTAGTCGAACAAAAAGTTCCGATTGTGAAGAAACCACCTCAGCAGGTAACGCCGAAAGAAACTTGACCTTTTCTTTTCTCCTCAAACAGCGCATTTAATAATTGTACAAAATTTAAGGTTATTTAAATGCAGAAAAATTTCTTTTTTCCAATACTCATTTAAAAATAAAGTAATTAAAGTTTAATTTTATTTTCTTCCCTTTTTAAAAATGTTAATAAAATAAAAATCTATATAAAACTAACATAAATAAATAGATAACAGAATTAAATAATTTATTTATCAAAGTAACTTAATTTCTTTACTATTTATTCAATTGTACGTGAAATTGATGAAAATAAATTTTTAACATTGGCAGATATACGATGCTGCTAAGGCGGTTATGAATAGTTCCTTACAACCGACCATCGAGAAACTCAATATGGCAAAGGAGTCAGCTACGCAACAAGCAAATACATTCAAGGAAATCAGCATAACTAAAGCAAACGAACTTCTAAACACACAATATGGTAATATGGCTGTTCAAGGCGTTGACAATACTAACGCACTCATCAATCGTTTGTTGGATTATTACTTTCCGGCAGTAGAGGGAGAACAGAATGCGCCAAGTATGTTTTTTGGAAATTTTACAAATTTTTGCATTATATTTATTATCCAATTAATATTGTTTTAATAATAATGATAATTATTACAGGTCCCATTTCTGCGGATGAGAACAAAGTTCTTCATGCGGTACAAACGATCGGTCAATTATCAACAAAAACTGCTAATCGTGTCTACCATTCAGTTGCTGCGCAGTTAAAGACAATAAAGAAAGAAGACGTAGCAATGTATATATCAAGTGTGGTATCTATTCTTCATCTTGCGCAATTCTTGAATACTGAACAGAAACAGGCAGATAATAGCCAGGCAAATAGTTCAACGGAAAGTAAAGACGAGGAAAAGAAGTAAACAGATAGTTCGAGGGCACTTTATTTATCCATGCATTCAATTAGATACGTAATTTAACTAATTTGTTACACATTTCAAATTTCCAAGAAATTTAAAAAGAATACGAAGTTAAATTAAAGCTCTATAAAAATTTTTACACAAAATTAAATATATATATATAAATTTAAATATATTTTAATAGTGTTCTTAACGAAAATATTCTATTTAAAATATAAAAAAAATATTGAATATTTTCAATTCAGACAATTTTGAAATTTGTTATTTATCAAATGCATTTCTATACATTTATGTTTAATATTATATAAAAATCATGTAAATTATCATCTTGTGTAGCTGTTAATAGCCATAAACTATAATTTTAATAATATTTTCTACTTACACGACAAAATTTATAAAAAAATTATAAAATTTTATTGACTTTTATAATTGCAAAAAAAAACAAAATTTGTATCCACCGATGCACATTATTTAATATAATACATAAACGTGTTTTAAACACAAAGCATATCATGTTAAAGGACTGCTGCAAATGTCAAAAATAAATGCAAATATATATTTTGTAAAAAATATTGTATAAAAGAACATTAGAATATAATTTTAAAGAAAATGCTATTTATATTATTATTTATCCTAATTTTAGAAGTAAGAATTAAGTTTAATTTAATTTTGGAAAAATGGATTGTTAAATTTCTAAAATAAGATTTTAATTGACTTAATCAACTTTAATAAAATTAAAGAAAATGTAGAAAAGAGAATTTTTACTGAATATTTGTTTCAATCAATATTTTGTTCAACGACTATCTCACTTCTCATGTTACCGACGCACGATGGTTCAAAATGAAACTACTATTATACTGTTGAGAAACTTGACAGTAGCGGCGTAATCTTGTGGCAAACAGCTGTATCTCCGCTCAATATCGGGTGGTGAAAAATAAGAAGGGAGCAAAATCTCGTTAGTTATACGTAAAAGTATATAAATAATTGAACTTGCGGTCGCCCGTTGGAGTAAATAAATTTCGCAGCAAAATGAGTCAGGGATCAAAGTACAGCGGCTGTAATGCTTGAAGAGAGGGATAGCGAAAGAAAGAGAATAAAAGAAAAAGAGTATAACAGAGAGGCAGGAACATACAGCTGTAGGGTGACTGAAGGGAAGCTAGCGTCTAGTCGCGACGATCGCGTTGGGTAAGTGTCAACCGAGCAGTTTTGCTTTATCGCATCACGTCGATCGGGGCCACCTGTCAATTCATGGCCGTGGCATTGATCTTGGAGGTTCAGATTGTATATTTCTATAACTGTACACTTGCTCGCACATTCCCATCGATCGGACGCGCGAACAATGAGACGTAGTAATCCGCGCGCATTCCTACGGCGCTCGCCGATGCTTTGTGCTCCAATCACGTCCTGATATTAGCTCTCGCTCAGTGTATTTAAACGTACATTTTCTTCTCCTCCGAACGCCGTGCGCATCTCGCTTGAATTGCAATTCATGTATAAGCGGAATGTGCTAATGGATATTCTGAATTGGTATTTATCACTGAGTCACAATATATACCTTAATGTAATAATGACAATTATGATGCAATGTCGATGACAAGAAATGTTTTATCGAGTGTTAAATATCGGAGCAAAGGACAACTGCATCTATATTCATAGAATATTTATCTCTTTTTTTTGTTATATTTAGTGTGAATTTTTTATCTATATATATATATATATATATATGTGTGTGTGTGTGTGTGTGTATGTATAGAAGATTCATAATTGGCTCTTGTGTCTTTTTCTTCACATATTTCTTAATGGAAAGAATTCGTTGAACAAAATTCAATTTCATTTATAATCACTTCAGTTTATACAATGGTCTTGCTGCATTTATTAAAATTATTATTAAAACAGATATTTAATTTTTATTAAAATTACATTAATACCTTCTTGTTACAGATTATACAGTGAAGAGGTTATTTATTTTATCTATGAGAAAGAGATTTCGATTTAATCACAGCCATGGATACGGATCAATTTTACCGAATTCAAGCTGTCGATCGTGCACGTAAAATACCTAGTGTGAATTACTTATGGGATAAATCCACAGAAGTGTACGAACGTGTAAAAGGCACAAACACGTTTGTAAATTGGGCCTTTGACACCGTTGAAAGTGTAGTAAATACAATGATAGAGAAGTCTCTGCCAGTCGCTAAATTGATGGAAAAACCAATTTATACGTTAGATAAGACTCTATGTCAGGGTATCGATTTTGTTGAAATAAATCTGCCAATAATTAAAGAAGAACCCAAACAGGTAATATATGTATATAATATACTTAATGTATTTGTAATTGATTCTGGGATATCAATTAAAAAATTTCTTTTAATATATTCAAATATCATAGCTATATTTAAATATCATAATTATTACCAAATATTAAAACCAAATATTTAAAAAATAATAAAATAGCGTCCAACACACTGTTACGCTTGATTTTATGCTTAACTTAGAGTACTTGATACTTATTAAATGTTTATTATTATTAATTGTTTTTTTTCATTTAAAAACTACTATCCATATTATAGATTTTAATTATTTGATTTTAGGTTAACATAAAAATATGTTTATTTTTATTTTCTTGCGTTTTCAGATATTGAATCGTACGAAATCTATAGTATCTGAACGTCTCCGTCCTGCGGTTAAAACTTTTACAGATTTAAAGCAGGAAACAAAGCAGAGAGTAAGGGTTATGACTTTACATACATATTACAAGGTTCATTACTTACGAATCTATAGTTGGCAACAAGCCGACAAGGTCATGTCAACTGAAACTGGTATCAATATTTTAAAGACTGTTGATAATACTACTGATTTTGCGGAAGTCATGTTAGACAAGTATCTACCTCCGCCAGAGGAAGAAATTCATACTGATACAGGTAATGTACATTTCTTTTTCTAGTTTATATAGCTGATTTTAAAATACGTTTTTAGTAATTTTGTGTATAAAATGAAATATACATATATGCGTTATAAAGAAGAAAAAAGAAATTAAAAAGGAAGTTATTGTATACACAAAAAAAATAACAATCAAAAAAGAATGTTCAAAGATGCTTTATAAATGCAAGCTTATACGTTCTGCAATCAAATTTACATAATATACATAATTTATGCATAAAATTATGCAATAAAATTATTAATCAGAAAGTATACTTTCTCTTTGATAATTCTAATCAATTTATATTTACAGAACGAATGTGTAGCGAACATGTTAAGTTGCATCATACAATGGAAAGACTAAGCGAATTCAGCACTCGAGCATCAAGACGTATTTACTATGCGTTAATGGAGAGGGTGCAACATATGTATAAAATAGAAATACTTATTTTGGTATTACATGCGCTCATAGTCATCCAGGCAATCAAGTTCTTGGATACGGTAATGAGTTTTATATTTAAATTATTCAGCGATTGTCTTTTTTCGTCTTAGGGACACGCTCTAGTCTGTTTTAATCGCGTATGCAACAGCATTTAAGAAATCAGACTATTTTTTATCATTTTTACACGAAAATTACGACATCAGTATATTTTACTTGCAAACTGCGAATTTTACTTAATACGGACGTTGTGAAACGTGTGACCATTCGCAGAATAATTTCACGGTCCAAAATAGATTAAAAAAAAGCTGCGCTCTCAGCCATGATATATGGCAACGTTTCTCATGATATTTCGCATTTGCACATTTCCGACTTCTTAAATAATCTTCCAACCACCGTTGGAAGATTTAAAAGAAGAGTAATCTGATTATTTTTTATAGAATAAAGTAAATGTCCCTATATTAAAGAATTTTGTAGATTTTTTTTTTAAATATGCAGGATGTTCTAATGCTCTTTTTCTTTCAAACATTGCAAACATCGGAAACATTGAAACTAATTTTCAAGCATAACTAAAATTTAAATAATTCCGTTTGTTCAAGAAATTGAGATTTTGAGTCATAAATAAAAAAATAATTAAAAAAATTTTAATATATAAGAAAATAGATAAGAAAATTCAAAAACTTAAATGAATTATTTAATAAAACGGAATTTAATAAAAAATTTATTACTAAAATGCCTTAACTTATTTAATATTAAAAATAAAATAATTATGAATGCATTATTGTGTATATATTTATAACATCCTATATATTTGAAATTGTTTTTATTTTATCATGTTTTAAATGCACAAAACAGATTAAAAATAAGAAGAAATATCCCTGTGCAAGCATTTAGTTTTATATTTAATATTTTATACTTAAAAACTATGTATTGAGATACACATATACACATTTTTTTATCTAGTTAGTAATGTTTATTCAGATTGTTAGATTATATATTCGCAAGGATGAATCATCAAAGCAATTATCGTTGTTCTTATTTTGAGAATATAGCACGATATTTTTCGGAAAGATTTATCCGTACTTTCATTAGATAGAACTGCACTTTTCATACCCTGTTATCATGTGACAGGCATGTATTCGAAAGATACAGTTCTCGTATATGAACACTGAACGCTTAATGATATTTCATTTCTATTGCTTTTTTTATTATTTAAATTTACACGTAAGGCTTTTTTACGCAACTGGGCTATTTAATAAAGTGTGATGTTGTTCTTGAGCAAAGTCAATTTTGAATAGATAGCTAGCGACCAGTTAATCTAGATGTTAGTATCCTGATGCAATAAAATATATGTCTAGTAATAATTACAAATGTTAAAGGAGTTGAAAATTGATATTTTAACTGTAACGACTGTGATGAAAGGAATGACTTTAATTTATTCTCATTTTATGTCATGTCGTGTTATTCTGATTTAAATAAGACAAATGTGAATAAATTGAACATTGCAAATCGATAAGATTTTTTACTTGTGGTAATAACAAAGCAAAATTATAATAAATATAATATGTACAAAAATATATATAATATGTTACACTGATAATGTAAAAAATTAATAATTAGAGTGCAATAGTTTGTGAAGTATTAAAACAATATAAATTTTATACCTGTTTAAATATTTTTTCCATAAATCTCTTTCTTATTCTAAATTTAATAATTTGTCTCTCTTGCAAGATAACACTGATAATGAAATAGTAAAGAGATTTGATTTAATTTAATTAATGACACATGCAAAATAATTATCTTAACAGTCGAGGGAAAACTTTTCGTTATTGAACATCATAAACTTCCGCACTCTATTTATAATAAAACGACGAGCGACTTATAAGCGAGCAGACTGCATATAATTGTATGTGACATTAATGATGATGTGCAAATCTGCAATTGTTTTCGTTTTCTGTACTTACTAATGCATTTGTATAAATGATTACATATAAAAGATGTACGTTAAAGCACCGTACTGCCATCGAGATGTGTTTATTTATCCTGTGTCCATTAAGGCGAAATAGACATAAACACAATCGATTTAAAAATCCGGCTGCGTGTGCTTTTTCAACAAGCTATTTCTCAAAGACACTCAAGCCGCGAGATAAGGGGCTGCCAGGGCGTTGAAGAAACGAGAGTATATTTTTCTGATGTCAGTGTGGGAGCATTTATCACGTCCCTTCCTGCGATCCGCGGAAAACCGGGATGAAGCGATGCGATGGCATTGCATATACGCGCGGAACATCCGGCGAACTCACACGAGAGAAGATACGCGCACATAGAGTTGCCGGCGAATCTGATGATACGATGGCAAAAATCTTTTACTCACGTCCTTTATCTCACGTAAATTTTTCATAACCACTTCACACTTAATTTTATTGCAACCCAAGTTTCAGAAGAATATGATTCGAGATTAGCACGGAGAGCTACCATGAGCATCTTTCATCAGTAAAAGATTGCTTCATATTTTGTCAGAGAAGCATTGGAAGCGATAAAAATTTTTTTAATAATATACGTTTCAATCTTACTTAATCAAAATTAATATATTTTTTTATCATCTATTTTCTCTTTCTTATGTTACTTAACAGTATGCCCAAGTATTATAATAATTAAGCTGTCTATAAGAATTATTGATTCATTATTTAGGGATAAATTTAGTCTAAAACAAAATATATAAAAGTGCGGAAAAATTTTACTCATTACAACATCGACTTGCTGTAAAAATATAAATATTTCTGTTTTTATTCACAGACATTTCTAACGTCCATATAAAATGCATCTGACAGGTATTTATGCCAGATGCATCCGCTTGCTTGTCACTTACTTATTAAAGTTTATTCTTTATTACGTCGTGTAAAATGCTACTAGTGTACTAGTGTGTCCATGGTTTATGTGTATGTAACAGACAATATAACGTCACATTAATCATCGAAAGTCAACGCGCGTTTCTCTATGCCTCTTAAAACGTCATCCTTCCTGCCGGCCCCATCACAGCGTGTGCATTTGCGAATGGACGAACGTCTTTTCATTAACGTGCTCGCAGATAATCTTGACATACTACTGCTTGGATGCATGCGATGCGCGCTGCAACTTTCTCGAGGAATGCGGTTTGATGGGTGTAGCGCTGCGAAAAAGAGAAAGAAATGACCATTTAATGTTGAAGGCGCAATGCCTACGCATTACACTGAGTTGTAACGTATGTGAAAGGTACTTCAGAAATTGGAAATAGGATCTTGAATCACAAAGCCAAGCCTCACAAATTTCTTGCTCCAATTTTGTGTATTCGATATTGGAAAAATCGCCAATCACTTTAAATATTTATTATGAAATTAAAGTAAATACGGAAATAAAATCTTTTTATTTTTGTATTTAAATTTTAATAAAGATGTTGTTTAAAAATGAATAGAAAAGCTATTTCGGAAAAGACTACTTGTTTTTATTTATTATATCACTAAAAAATGCCAGTGTAAGTAAAAGAATATTTTATTGAACTTTTAAAGTTCAACAATCGCGGAGAATGTTTCAAAAATTTTTAAACTTACAGTACTGTTCCTTTGCTTCGATATTTCCGATAGTTTCAAAATTATTGATTTTGAAGCCCTTTTGTTCACGCGAGATCCTCTGAATGCGCGCAACTGCGCTCGTATAGCCATAAATTCTTAGACCTTCATAAAGTTTGAAGACTTTCAAGATATGTCGAGACTTTAGCGCCATCGATACTTTACAAAAGTTTCAAAGTGTGTTACTGCTAAAAATTTCTTTTTTAATTCTTTGGGGATCAATATCCGCAAAACTTCAAACAATTCTACGAAACTTTTAACGTATTTTCGATTTATATGATGCGTTAAGAATTCTTCAATACACGTCTTATAAATATTAATTTAATCTTGATTATTCAGATTACTTATTATTTAAAATAAATATCACAATTAAATATCATAATTAAATATCAAATTGGACAATATTAAAATTAATGCAACATAACGTCTGTAATGTTGATTTTAATGTTTAAAAAACGTTAATTTATTTTGTAAAATAGAGATAAAAAATAATTTTAACATTTTTCTTTATTCTTGCGCGCTTTAAGATATATGATACGGCAAAATAAAGGCACAAAAACGCAGAACAGTCCAATTGTTCGCCGCAGACACTTGGCGTACATGGTCGACGGTTCGACATCGACGCTAAAAAACATCGAGAACAAGTCGCGGTTGTCGGGTGTGAGTAAATCATTTTATCCTGCACAAAGATACCTACGAGTTACGAACGCACGTGTTCGCGAATTTTCGCTGGTCGCGTCGCAGCCTCGTAAACAGCTTCTTGCCGAGGTACGAGCGTTCTCTCGGTGGCTGCGGGCCGTTTTAGAAACTATAATGGATTATGGAAGGCGGTCTCTGGCTCGGCTGGTGGTTGGTTATACAGGCAGCAAGGAGGGTTTCCGTACCCGCTGAAAGATCTATGGCGGGGTGGTAGATAAGCTATGCTTCATAAGCAGAGATGTTATCTTCATAAAAGCCGCAGGTCGATGCCTTCTTCCGCCGGTATACACCGGTAGTCGGGGTCGTATCGCGCGCTATGTACGACGTGTACATCACGAGATATGCTATGTTGCGTATCTATACAGCTATTTATACTCCGATATACGGATGCGAGTATATGCCGGGTAAACAGTACGCTGATGGATCTTCCTAAGCGACTTGAAATTGATTTTTGTACGATATTTGTCCCTCGTATGTGGATCACTCTTGTACATTTATGTTTATTTTATCGAAAACATCATTTTCAGAAATACGTCGCTAGGAAAGATTTCACGTGACGATGCTTGGAACAATTTTCGGAGCGTACCTCGTACATCGGAAAAAGGTAAGTCACTCTCTTCGCGCGATCGTAGTCACTTCACTTTGTCTAACAAAGAAGGGAGTGAGGTAACTAATCTTCCATGAATTCTTCCGGTTCGCCATGCAATTCTTTTCCCATCGCTACAACTGCACTGGCGCCTGCGGCCGTGTCATTTATCGCACGTGCCGCGCGATGAAATAAACTTTTGCAATTTGCAACCTGTGGCATCCTTTATCCGACCGTCGACCTTACTGTAAGCACGTAACGCGGATATTTCATCGCGCTCTTACTCCAACGGTGTCCTTTTTGTGCCGCGGCGCGACCGACAATCGCTCAAAAAGCATCGGTACAGTTCTTGGACAGGGTCCAACGGCTGGACGGAGAAATTGGTTCCAGCGCGAAACCGCGAAGCTCGCGGTAAATAGTCGTATTTAAAGAAAAAGCCGAGCGGCGATAAATGTTTCAACGAACGATGCTTGCGATGCCGGGACCGGGATTGCTGGCTTCCAAACTGCCTTTTAGCTACCGGCCAGCTTGGAAGTGTCAGTGAAATTTTAATAGATGAGAATTTTTCGCATCGCCGGAACTTTTAATGAACCGCAAGCCTGTCGACGCTACCTCCGTAAAGTAAGAATGCTTATACATTTTCCGGGGACATCGACACAATCTGTGGAAACATGCGCAAAGTTCTTCTTCGTGATTACGCATATTTCAACTCCTATTTCTCCTAATTAATTTGCTTTATACAG